ACGATGTTTTTACTTCGCTTTAAGAAACTTTTCTTTTCTTTCTTTATTTGCATACGTATGATTTTCATTATATTGTTATTCTGTCATGAAAAACTTGATTTTAGAATAACGAAGTATATATTTCATTTAATTTTGCATTATCAAATTTATTTATTACATTAATCTAATTTCTGTATTTCTGTGAATTGATAAATTTCAATTCACAATTCATACATTGACAATATAATTTCTATTTTCAAGCTAATGACTCACTGTAATGTATTAACAGATACTTGTTCGAGCAGATATTTTCATAATTTTATATAATTCCATATTATGGTGAATACATTATTTAATAGAAACCAAACAGAATACACAATGTAAAAGTATAGATATTAATATAATAATAATAACAATATTAGTCAGTAGCCAAAGTATTTACTACATAATGTTTATATATAACTAATAATTACTTTCTAAGTTTTACAGAAAAAAATTTTATTTTGTTTTGATTGTTTTTGATTGTTTTTTTAATGTTTTGAAATTTTATTTTGATTTATTGTAAATTATCATTTTACAATAAATTTATATTAAATGATTATTTTTACGATTATTCTATCGGTATTTCAATGATTGTAGCATTAAATTTTAATGCTACGTATACAAATGTTTACTATCAATAATTCATAATTATACTTTACTTTATAAAATTATTTCAGTTCAAAGCTCGTTATAGTATATTTTATAATTATAAATAATGACAATTGCTCAGTGAATATAATTTTTAAATAAGTAATATAATTGAAATAAATAGAAAAAAAAAAGAAAAAAAAAAGAAAAAGCAAAAGTCTCATCCTCACTCACTTCATACGACTTCGTTTCACGAATTCTACTATTCTATAGTACATCAATATTAGATTCTACAAATACATTTCTTTAATATTGTTGTTTAAATGAAAAAGATTTACTCATATAAACAAATTGTTAATTAGAAGTAAAATTCTTATCAATAATTAAACTCCAAAACTATTTCAAATTTTAATCATGGCTCGGTAGATTAAAGCGAGGACAATTTAAAATAGCTTAGCGAAGTTATACATAGAATTCCAGAAAATGGAATATTCATACCGTTTCCTATCTCTGCGGATAGCTCTGAGCTTTAATCAATTCAATAATCAAAAATTATATTTTTAATCTTATTAGCATCGAGTTTTGGAGGAAAGCTGGCATTCCATTATAACTCTTCTTCTTGATAATAATAAAGAGAAGTGATTTATAGTAATACATTTATATTACGAACTAACGATTAAGCCTATAAATAGCCTAGACATAAAAGCTGTGATGAACTTTTTAATTTCATATAATGTCTTGCTCAGACAACATAACGTAGAAAATAAAATTTCAGCACTTATTAATTATCGAAAAACTCTGAGATTGAGCATGCCTTTTCTTTGTCAACAATATGAGAAAGAAAGCATAAAATGTGATACACAAGTAACCTACAGCAGTTTATCACACTCATATGCTAGCTGCGCGTGAAATTGGAAACTTTAATCAACGAATCACTTCACTTTCTCCTCTAAAGCTAGTAATAGCCGCAAGTCCTATCCGGCAAAGTAATACTCGCTCTCGTGGACGGGACTAAATAAAAGAACCGAAGCTAAATAAAAGATGTACAGGTCTGCGATATTGTAGTTGCGGAGGCGTTATAAGAAAACGTGTTCTCTGGAATGCAGTCGGGGTTCTTCTGTGGTGTGCCGCGGGCATTGCCTCTTAGCACTCGACATACCCCCAAACACGCTTATGTGCGTGTACGTTGGGTTGGGGGAGGATGGGGGGGGGGGTTAGGTGGGGAGGACAAGGTTTATGCAAGCCAGTTTATTTATCTCGCTCATTGTTATCGGTCATGGGACGCCAGCTGACAAGCTGAAACGCCTGCCCCGGGGAATTCCGCTGAAGGCTTGACTCTTCAGCGGCTACGTATCTTCGCACCTTCTTGCCGTTGAATTTCGCTGAGTGCAATTGCCAATTCGAGAAAGTGCACCGAGCGAATTTGTCTCATTTCGCCTGGTACACGGAAAAGTCCAAATGGGATATACTTGGACTACAGACATTAGTAATGGCCTCGCGGTACATTTTGCCAAGACTCCATTTCATGCCGTTGGAGTCGTTATTTGGAAGGAGTCGCGCGCTCCATTACGTGGTTTCACATAATTTTGAAAATATATTTTATAAATTATGGATTCTTTTACATCTACGTGTTTCGAATGTTCAATAGCTTATGTCCCGAGGCACAAGAATTCGAACTGATTATCATAAATTTTAGAATAAAATCTCGAGTGGAAAATATAGACTCTCGTGCGCATTCAAATACCGAGGCAATATAATAAGATGTTGACACATCAAACCCTAAACTATGGTAATACCTTTGCGACTTATGTTATGCGTATTTAAATTGTAGTCTATTGTAAATCAAAAGTTGACAAAACGTAAAAAAATATGCGTATAAATTATTGTGCCGCATAGTTAGCGTCAGTGTCGAAAATTCTGCTGTTCATGATCGATGATAACGAAATGTTCTTGGACAAATGTTTTAATTTGTATCATATTTACTTATAAATGACTGCCTCCTCGTTCTTTCAATATTGTTTTCTTAGAGTGTAGACTTATTAAGGCACAATAGTCGTTAATTAATAAATGCATAAACATATCATGTATATAATAAGATAAATTTTACTTTATATACAAAACGATTTCTGCATCCGATGGTGTATAATATTATTTTTTATTTACTCGCATAATCACTACAAGGCAAAGAAAATTTTACAAAAAAGAATAAAAAATCGATAAATACGTAAAACATGAAATCATTCGAAGCTAATTATTATTCTTCTGTATGAATCAAATCATGTATTATGCGCCTGGAAACAAAACAAAAACAAAAAACAAAAAAAAATATTTTTTTCCAAATGTTGTGTTTTTTTTTTTTAATATATAAATCTTATTTTTTGTTAAGATTTACTTCTTTGTGCTTGATTTATGGCCGAAATTAGCGTTCTTAATCTATTAAAGTTGATTTATTCGTTCGCATAAATTGTTATTGTAATTTTGACATTCTAAGCCCCGAGATTAATGAAAATATCGGGTCTTTTGATGCTTACAGTTGACCAAGTAATAATAAATTGTCTTTATCTAGGAATTTTCTATTTTCTATATTTTAAAATTTACCAACCACACACTGCATGAGATATTTAATTTTTCCTCGATAAACGTAATACGTATAAATTAAATGAAATACAAATGAATATAAATATCAATATATATCTTATGTTGAAGGAATTGTTTGGTGTACAGTTAATAAAATAGATTAGTATGAGAAAAGCGAGATTACAATATATGTTTTAAAAGATTGATAAAATTAATTGAGAAAATTATTGAAGATTTCATCAATAATGTTGATCGGTTTCATCAGAATGTTGAAAGTAATAGAGTAATTTTTTTTTTAGTCAATCTTACTTACAGTTAATGCAATTTATTTTAATAACTGCATATCCAGAAACACCTTGAACTTACCTTCGGCTCTCTTCTTTCTCGTTTTATCCATTAATTTTTTTATTTTTTATCTTTTTCTCATTTGAATGATCTTTTTAGCTACACAGGAGAGAACCGGACCAATTGCTTTGTATACGCGAGTATTTCATTGGATGCTTTCTTTTTACCGAGTCAAGTACTTTTCTCTCGCTTCGCGGCAGAGAAATTCTTTTTTTCATGCAAATTTACGAGGGGTGAAATAATACCGAAAGTTTGAGTCTCGCCTTTTTCTCGTTATGCGCCGTGAATTATTAAAATAGCCCATACAGTAGTGGCACCACGAGATAATATTTATGAATATAAGAAGTTCGTTTTTAAATGAAGGGGTATGCATTTCAGAAACTGCATTTTTTTTTCATTTTTATACAAACTGTACTTTAAATTGCAATGAAGCCTTTTCATTAAGTGCATTCTACGATTAATCATAATAAACAGACTAAATACCATCAATGTTTATGGTAAATCAGAGATAAAAGAACTTTAAGTATACTTGCAATACTTCGTTCTTCCAATATTTCTCAATCAAATACTTTTCGATATATTCAATAATGAAATTAAACAAAAATAAAACAAAAAAAAAACAAGAAAAAAACACCATATTCTTAATTTTAAGAATTCGATTGAATAATGTACTTACATTTATCATATTAAGTGTATACAGAAACTTGAAATATATAATTTATTTAACTTAATAGCGCTCTTAAAAGGAAAGAGTTTAATAATTTTAATAATTTGATGATAATAATCTCCAGAACGATGCTATTATATAGATAAGAAATATTCTCTTTCGACAGTAGTTCTTAGGGCTCGATAGAATAATTTTAAATTATTTTATTTACCAATTACCAATTACGATAAAAATTTTTGTATCCCATTCTGTAAACGATACATTAACAAATTTCACAATATTACCTAAACCTACTACATATAAGATTAATTGATTAATTATTGATGAATTAAATGAATAAAATTTCACGATATGTTTTTCAAACCGAAAAGCTTCACTCAAGCAGCTTTATTCTTATCGACAAAGTTCATCAGAATTTAATATATCTCAATTTTCTCTCTTCTATTAGATTAAAATATTATCTTCATATAATCTATCCTTACCTTTTTTTTTTATCGACGATGTCTCTTAATATGAGTTTCTGAGCTTGCAAATAATATTCACATTGTCAATATAAAATTAACCATATGGTTTCTGTATAATAAGGCAATACGAGCTCACGAAATAATACTGTCAATACATTATATTAATGCTCGACTCGACAAAAATTTATCACACCTCTCAATCCGCTAACTATAAAAGCCAAAGTAAGAAAAAAGTCGATACGAAAAAAGCACATAAATCTACCCAACAGGATAATCGAATGGCGCCGAAAGTGGAGCATAAAATTAAACGTTCCTCGATTGTCTTCGTGTGTTCGCAGGTACGGGGAGAAACAGAGACGGAACGACAGTTCGGAGCTGAGCGGCATTCAGCTGCTGTCGGCAACAGCTTATCAGCTCAAGAAGCCCTATCAGCAACTCCTCATACCGATCACCGTGTGGATCGGCATGGAGCAGGCTTTTATTGGCGCCGAGTTTACGCAGGTAATCAATTTATGACGCATCCCCATTAAAATTGCCAGCGATAACTCATTTTATGGGAAAGGAGTGGGGCGGAGAGGACTGGTTGAAAGTTCTTAAGGAGCTTGGCGATTGTACTCGTGTGAAATGAAATTCTCATGGAGTCTAACGATTGCCTCTTCCTTCATAATATGACGGATTTTCAACAAGTAAATTACACTCGTATTAAGATGTGATTATTTCAGTCTGGCAATGTTCCTTTCCTCGGCGCGCGATAATTCCGTTGCAGAGCAAGGGCTCTCCTCGTTTGGACCAATCTCATCTTATTCGAGATTATTCTGCTCGAAACAAAAAGATCATTTCTCTCGATTGTCGATTATTCGCCTGTCTTATCCTTGTCTTCCAACATCTGAAATGGTGAAATTGGCTCCTCGTTTAATTAGGTTTTATTAAAGCCGCTCTACCAATCGATGATCCATCCTGGCGTTTTATTTACGTTACATATGCACTTTTTCGCCGCTGCTTTTTCAAAAATATCCCGCCGAAAATACTTGGTGAAAATAGTGGAATTCCTAACATAAAATTGCGCTGCAAGCAATTTTTTAGCTGCGGAAATGCTATCGATTTGGAGGATGCGGAAAGGCAATGTGGTTTAAAGGACTTAAACGGCAGCGATGGATGTTATTCCTACTTTACCCGGATGTGTGGTTCAAATACCTGTAAGTTTCCAATTAATACATTGATTTTATTTTATTCGATTAATGAAACGAATGAATGAAATATCGTTTCTTAGTAAATTATAATTTGTATCTTTAACATTACGTCGCATTAAAATTACATGATTTTCTTTTTTATTTTTTTTGTTTTTTGTTTTTTGTTTTTTGTTTTTTGTTTTATCGTATAAAATTCCGTTTAGTTTAGAAAATATTTTAAATATTACAGATAAACATGAAATTAAACTATCTATCAAATTATTGTTTATTTCAAAAGTATTCCGCCCAAGAATAAAAACCATGTATAGTATTCTCTCCAATATAAGTTATGAAATTAAAAGATTCGATTCAACCCCGAAATGTCCGTAAATTCTTCGCTTCCCGAATGAATCTGCAAGATGAAACCTTTTACAAGATTTTATACAATCATCTACAGAAAGATGTTATATCTCTTTTCGTTTCTACACCTCGTTAAAAAAAAAAAAAAAAAAAAAAAAAAATCTTCAATCTCTTGCTCCGTGCTATTGCATTGATTTCTAATAAGCATTTTGTTAGCAATTTTGCCGAGAAAGAACGACGAGATGTTAATTTGTCTCGTTCGTTATACTGCACGACTTAACAAACAACCAATAGCAATCGGCAGCGAGTGACAAACGACTGTCGAGCGCAAGTCAGTCCGTAGTAATTTTGAAAGCTTTGACGTACGTACAAAGAGTCGTTTAATTAATAAGAGAAATGTATTATCAATCAACTTATTACGATTCTTCTTACTTAATTGTGAAATATAAGTTTATATAAAAATTCCGATAATCAATGATGAAACAGTACGCATAATAATTTTAATATTAATTTTCATTATTTTATTTTGATTCTACAATTACGCTAAAATAATAATCATTTATTTGCTTGGAAAGTTTACGCGCCTCGTATTATCAGGTATTTGTTAAAAAAAAAAAAAGTTTTCCCGTATTATTTAATTGAAAAATAAATTTTAAGAGAAAAAAGAAATTACTATCTTTAAAACAAGTTAACATTTAAAATTTAACGAATTCATGGAATTACGATTATTCGATTGAAATATCGAATATTATATGCAGGAATAGGTAATTTCACGAGTCCTTTATCAGTGTGAAGGAATTTATGTGTTGTTAAAGCGATTATACTCATGTATTACCGAAAATCCTCGTGGAATCAGATATATTTTTATGAAAGTCCAATAGAGAAAGAATATTTTTAATTATAAAATATGTTTGAGCAGCGCATACAAATAAATTATTATTTACGCCTTGAAAGCGTTACGTATAAACATATCAATATAATTATGGATCGACTGGAATGCAATCGTAAGTAACGTATGCTTTTATGACATAAAATTGAAGTTAATTTATATATGTGTTAAAAACTAATTTACGAACATACAATTCAACATTTATTGCGTATACAATTTGTCAATATAAACTTTATTTATAAAACTGAATTTGCCACCTATACTTTTAATATTTAATGGTAACTAATTTTGATTATAATTTCATTAGAAAGTTGAATTTTAGAAATTTTAATATAAGATTTTTTTTTCTCTTTACTCTGAAATATAATTAGAATTAAAAAACAAGAAAAGCTATATTTATATTTGTATTCTACTAAAGTACAATAGCAATAATAATAATTGTCTGACTCTGCCTTCTTTCATCCTTACCATCGACACTTTCCTGGTGCAAGGCTCAAACATTGCGTTTCCTATATGCTAACAACAGCCCATAAACAAAAATTAATCGCTCGTTTCGGAAGATAAGTAAAACATCTGCCAAAATTATAGAGAACTTTAAAATGAAATTATAAATGAAATATCTCTTATAATAGCTCGCAAGAGTACAGTCTCCATAAAAATCGTAGACATTTTATGAAAATTAGCTTCAACTGGAAATAATTGTCGTCGTTCGCCAACTGGTCATTCTCAACTTCATGCTAATGTCAGAGACTGGGCGAAAGCCCGAAAAAAGGTAAACGCGGTTAGAGGAACGTCGATAGCATCCTCTATGAGACGATGGCGCTTTAATGAGAGAGCATTCGCTTCTAGGGCGATGAGTAGCTTTAAAAGTTACCCGAGCTGCTTCTCACCTTCTATATGCACCAGACTGTGCACTCGTTAATAACGTCACACAGATACGGAAATAAATAGTACTCCCTTGCCGGACCGTAATCTCTCTCTCTCTCTCTCTCTCTCTTTCTGTCTCTCTCTCTCTCTTTCTCTGTGCCTCTTATTCCACCATTCTGTTTTCGTCTGATTTCCACTTCTTCTTCTTCTTCTTCTTCTTCTTCTTCTTTTTGACGGAGGAGCTCTGGATTCCTAAGGCCATTTTCTTATCGGTTAGATGGAATGGATTCCTGAAGCTGAAGTAAAGATGATGGAAGACTTTTGTGAATAGCTTTTAGATCGTATATCATGTCTCACGGCTTCTTTGAAATAGCGATAACTTTACCATTGTATTTTATCCATTTATGACTTTCCGATATTCATTATCTCATTTTCATTTTACCAGAGCACAAGAATATTGAAATACGTGTAGCTTAAAATTAAAAAAAGAAAAAAAGAAGAAAAAAAGCAATAAGCATTAATGAATCGTCCTAACGAACGATATAAATAGAATTACAAAAAAAAAAGAAAAAAAAAAAGAAAAAAACAGCTTACGGAGGAAATATCCATACCTTCCTATTTATCTTCATAAAAATATGGAGTTTCATATTTTTTGTCTAATTAAAAAGTACTTAAGCACTTGCGTATGTTATGCAGCTTTTGTCCCTGCATTTCGTAACTAAATGTTTCTTTTTCATGTTTTCTTTGTGTACGAAGTTTTCGCAAGAATTTTTATGTTTTATTCTATAAAAAAAAAAAAAAAAAAAAAAAAAATAAAAAAAAAAAAAAAAAATAAAAAATCTATATTCCATAAACGGATGTTGGATGTTACATAATCTGCTAATAAAAAGTACATTTTAAATTAGAAATCATTACATGATCAATTATAAATAATGTAGGTAACAACAACCTTGGAGTATACTGAAATTTTGTATGGTATATTACGTTTTACGAGATACAAATGTGTAAAAAACATATGTAACGCAATATAATAAAGTTATTTATCGTTAGTAAATATTGCAAGTATTATATTAATTAAAAATTAGTAATACACGATTACAAGACGGAGTCAAAATTTTAATAATACCCGACGTATAAAAATTTTTTATTCATCTTTTTTGCAATTCTCCTGATCTGTAAAGTGGCAAATTTTTTTGTTCACGGAATTAATGGCGTCATTATTTGAAAACCTTAATATCGAGAACTGTCCGAGAGAAAAGGTGTTTACTCATGAAGTGTGATAAATAGATGGAGAAAATGATAATATCTATATAGCGGTTAAGTTTCGAAATCTTGTGCAATTTTCCGCAAAGTAACTTCCATCCGGACAATGTGATTATTATCATGGATTCATACAGAAGCCATCAACTATATCATCAAGGCTGATTTTAAGTGAACGACTAACGCGGAATCATCAATCAAGCGCATTCATATGTCATTTGGAGTATTGTATGGATTTTCCATCGCTCCTTTTTCCTTTTAATGCCGTATTAACGAGCACCATTAGTATTATTTTATAATAAATTTCTATTACTGGAAGAACGAAGAATTTGTGAAACAAGATATTTCAATTAAGAATTTATTGCATAGCAATAATTTTTATGATGTAAGAAATTATCATTGGCTTACAATGTTTATCAAGACATGTTTAATAATCATAAGTAAAAATATGAACTTAACAAAATTACGTTTTACAAATTTATGTAATTTAAGCGATTGTTTGTGCAACGATGAAATAATTAATGTCCAAATAACGAATAGTTCAATGTATAATTTACAAACTTTAACATATAACTTTTGTTGTATATTGCAAATATATATCTACAATGTATGTAAATATAAATCACATGAACAGAGATCTTTCACACGCATTGTCACGATAAATTGAAATAAGAAGTATGAACATAAAAAAAGAATGAGATGAACATTTTTCATCGTATATCCGTTTGATTTTCTTCCTTGTTAATGGATAAGGATGTTTTGTCAGGATCGCACGTTCGTGAGGAATTTTAGCATCATCACGCTCCAAAACTTTACTTTGTCTTTATATTCCCATACCTTTGGATGTGTCAGAATTTCATTATATGCGAGGTATCAAAGCATCCTGAAAAGTTTATTAAAAAGTAGAAAGATAACACGAACAATTATAATAAATATTTCAAACAAATAAAATTTAA